CATTTTTACTCAATTCTTTTTTTTTTTTTCAGAACGAGGGATTGAACTCAGGCCTTTGTGCTTGCCAGGCAAGCACTTATTCCTCTGAGCTATCTCCCTAGCCCTACTGAACTATCTCCCCAGTACACTCAATTCTTAATAATTTTAAAATAATGACCAAATTTGGATACCTCTCAATTTATAGGATTATGTCATGAAAACCCAATTGCAAAATGAAAACAGCACAAGTTGAAAACAGAATATAGTTGTGCCAAATATCATAACTTAGAAACATAGTACACTGTAGAATATCAGCTGCTTCTTTTCTTTTTTTTTTTTTTTTGTACTAAGAATAGAACCCAAGGCATTGGCACTGAGCTACATCCCCACTCCTGTTAAAATATTTTATTTTAAGGGGCCAGCCAGATAGCTCAGTCGATTAAGGCACCTGCTTAACGTGCTGAGATGGTGATTAAGACTGGGCACGGTGGCAGACACATGTAATCCTGGCGCTTGGGAGGCTGTAAACAGGAGAATCACTTCGGGTCCGATTTAGTAGTGAGACCCTGAACACCCTGTAGACCCTTCTCTAAAATACAGGAAAAAAAAAAAGTTTTATTTTGAGAGTCTCACTGAGTCACTAAGTTGCCCCGGCTGGGCTCAAACTTGGGATCCTCTTGCCACAGCCTCCCAGAGAGTTAGGATTACAATCCAGGTGTTGTCTATTCTCTTGATCTCATGATTAACTAGAAGCTGAGACTGGCTCTTGCTGCCCAACATTCTGAACAGGTATGGTACTGCAGATTATGAGCCCAGGAAAAGATCACAATTCAAAATGTGAACTATATCCTGAATGTGAAATCCCACATGACTTAAGCATCATAAAGTTGAAAAATTAAGATGAAGCACTATAAATCTGGGACTGTCTATAGTTTAAGCAGAAGATAGCTTACTTTTGATGTTGGTTTAGTATCATTTTAAAATAAATAATACCAGTCCCCTGCAGTGGCACATGCCTACAGTCCCAGCTCTTCAGGAGACCAAGGCAGGAGGATCATTTGAGCCATGGCCAGCCTGGACAACATAGCAAGATCCCATTCCCTAAAAAGAAAAACATAATACACTCACATGGCTAAATTTTTAAAGGGGAACAGGTATGGTGGCACATGCCGTAATCCCAGCACTTGGGAGTCTGAGGCTAAAGGATCATTGTAAGTTCAAGACCAGCCAGGGCTAACAGTGAGTTCAAAGCCAGCCTAAACTACACAGAAAGACCTTGTCTCAAAAAAAGGAAAAAGAAAAATTTAAAAGGTTATATAGTAAACCTTCTAGTCACTCAGTTCCTTTTCTCAGAAGCAACCAATCTCTTGAGTTAGAATTATTATTACTATTTTATTATTATTAATTTTGCTTCTGTTTCTGGTTT